AAGACCAAAAACTTAAAGCGATTGGAAAAAGTACTGGGTCAAAAATAGGGGGTTGAAGAGAGATTTCTAACAAATCAGAAATCCTAACATTATCAAAAATTGTCATAGTAGGACCATGGTCCACAAGGCGAGCATGCTATCTACAAAAAACAACATCAGATTTAGGCCAAGTACGAATACCTCTTTGGCGAAGTGGCCCTAGCGGCAAAGAATTCAGAAACGGAGGGCCCTGAGTACAAGGAAACAGCTGACCGACCGTCGCTTGTTCGATGGCCTCGGCATTGTTGAAAAAAGGACCTAGATAGAACTCATTGAGTTCAACATTGGCCGGTGCAAGGAAGTTCGGAGTTATGCATGGCCGAGTAAGGAGTTTCTGAAAGTCTTCGAAACTGAAGGAGTCACCAGACTGAGATTGTGAAGCAGCCATTAGGGACGAAATAGAGTTTTTTCAGAGTTAGGTAGCAGAGAAGCAAGGACATGAACAGTAATATTGCGAGGAAGAAGCGTGAAAAAATGAGGCGTGATTTAGTGGTGCAATGAAATGGCGTATTTGGGTGTTATAAGGGTTTGCAAACGTCGCACCTTTTCAGGCTATGGAAGAAAATAATGATTGAAATTCTTAGGAATTTCGAATGTTGCTGGGAAACACAAAGTGAATATGGCAAAAAATTAATAATTGGTATTAATTCTGCCATATTGGGGGGTAATTGTTGACACACAAAAAGTTCAGCCCAAGTTGAATAGCCCAAGGAATGAAGCCTAATTAGAAGATCCCCAAAATCAAATAGCCCAAAGAACGACCCAGTCAGGCAATGCAGGATAAATGCCCAAATAAGGAAGCCCATGAACGCGAAAATACCATCGTCCAAGGTTGCAAGTCGCCCAAGATTTGAATTGCCATGCAGTTGGCCAGAGCTGTGACTCTGCTCTCGTCCAAACATTCAAGTCGCCCAGCATCTTAGCAAACATAAGAAGTTATGGTTACCCAAAAGTGCAGTTAATGAAGCAGTTATTTGGTAATCCTATCACGTTCCACGATTCAAGGAATTCAATTGAAGACGGTTGAACGACAAAAGTAATGGCAGCAGTTAGAGAAGGCAGATCCATGACAAGTTGGCCACTACAAGGAAAGTGGGTAGTTATAGAGCGATCAAGCAGTTTCTTAAGCGGTTGATCACGAAAAAATCATCCAGGGAGTATAAAAGGAAGAAAAGACATAGAGCAAAGGACCCCGAATCAAACACTCTCAAACAGAGAATATGTAACTTTCAATTTCTTAGTTTAGATTTAAAACACTTCTTTTACAGTAACTCGTGTGCTTGCGCCTCTTGGAGGCATTCTGTTTTTATTTTCCAATTGTAAAGTCGTCGCCAATAAAAACACCCCTTTTTGGGAATTTGTCTCAAGAGGTTTGTCCCTTACACAATTGTCTGATCCCTTTTTAATTGTTAGCGACTAACCCGCGCGAAAACACATATATGCAGAGGCCATTGTTGATATGAATAATAATTGTAATAGCAGCCAGATCTTTTCCTCCTTACACCTCACAAAGTATTAGTCGTCAATGGGGCAAGCTAGCATTGGAGGGGGAGGGTGGTGCTGGTATAAAATTAGATGCCTAATGGAGAATTCCGGCTACAGAGTTACATGTATTGACCTCAAAGCTGCCGGCGTCGATCAAACCGATCCCAATACAATTCTTTCATTCGAAGAGTACAACAAGCCGCTCATCGACTTCTTGTCATCCTTAGACGACAATGAAAAGGTAGAAATGACTCACATGTATTCATTTAACTTAAAAGTAATTTCTATAAGCAAACTTAAGTCTTATTTTTTTCGATACAGGTGATGTTGGTTGGACATAGCGCCGGAGGGCTTAGTTTGACGGATGCAATTCACAAGTTTGCAAAGAAAATCAGCCTTGCAGTTTTTCTTGCAGCCACCATGCTGAAAATAGGCTTTGTCACTGACCAAGATATCAAAGATGTAAGTTCTTGAATGCATTTACTTTCTGACAATACACAAACATATTACGAGGAACATGATAATTATCTCGGAAATCGGGATTCTTAACACCAAAATTTTGTCAGTTAAAAAGCAATTTTTTTGTAGTTATTAATTGATGAAAATTGTTCTAATTAAGACTCAAGCACGAAGCGTTAGTATACAACAGGATGACTCGATGGCCCAGACTATATAATGTTGCTCGCATTTATTTTTTTTCATTTATCTACGAAGTTTCTACCTTTAAGTGGGAAATTAATTTGTTTGACAACTTCATATAGACTTTTGTAAGTGGTTCTTTTACCCATTCTTTGTTACCTAGAAGGCTAGAATAATAATATATATGATATATAAAATACATATCCTGATATCAAGCAACGACGAACAATTTTAGGACAAAGCTACAAGTACAGACCCTACTTCACAGGGTGTGTACATGACACACACTGAGAGGTGCGTGGGGTGATATTTTTTGACAATATTTTAATCACATGAGGCCCATCCCATGTGAGTGTTCTATAAAAATTCCGTAAATCATACCCTTGTACGTATAGCATTTTTCACAATTTTAACTCAACACGTAGGATCTTGTTGAATAAAAGAAAATTGTATTAAAGGGGGAGGATAGAGGGTTACTGTCGGAGTTGGTTGCACAGATCATCATTCTACAGATTTTATGATGCTAGTCTTGACTAAATTAAATTGTTAAAGTATACCCAACCATTTCGTCAAATAATGCAAATTATTTTAACTATTATTTTGTAACTTTGCAACATATTCCTAGTTCTTAAATCTTATCAAGTATTTAGAAGTCGTACATTATGGGTATTTTACAGGGAGTACCGGATCTTTCCGACTTTGGAGGAATTAATGATGTATATGACTTGGGCTTCGGATTAGGGCAGGATCATCCTCCAACCACTCTGATTGTCAAGAAAGAACTGCAGAGGAAAATCATTTATCAATTGTCGCCTCGAGAGGTAATTCTTGCACTTACATTGGGACGAATTCAACACAACGAGTCAATTACAACAGACGTTAACATTGTCGATATGCTCGTTAATTCTAATTCTAAACATTCAGGATTCGACATTAGCAGAAATGCTTTTGCGGGCGGGGCCAATTCATGCATTGACATGTGCACAATTTACAGAAGGGGAGAATTCTGAGCAGGTTCCTCGTATTTACATCAAAACGACACACGATCATGTAGTAAAACCTATCTAACCCGTAAATTTTACAATCGAATGTGAAGCCCACATTTGGAATTATTCTAACATTCTCCCACTTGGGCAAACATTTGATTGCTATAACAAAACTTTTAACACCCAGGTTAGACTATATAGGTGGCCACAAAAGTATAGCTCCAACGATAACACCTTACGCAACGTGATCCAGTCCAACATGAATATTAACACCGAACATGTAAGTCATTGCACCAACTAAGCAATGTAAGACCATTCCATAGCTACAAATGCCAACATTCTTATCGACATGGATCCCCATCCTCCAACTAATATGGTAGTGTGTGGTATGAACTTAGCACCAAATGTAATAAAAAACTGTGCTAATTCATATCGGCCATCATAATGCTTCAAATCAAAATGAAGTCATGTCTCTAGAAGAGACTCATCTTATGTCTTTATCTTGTCATATCTTGAGATTACAATAATATCATAATAAAAGATATAAATCAAATGCACGCTCAAAATAATTCATGGATAGGGGAAAAATATTTTATTATCAAAAGGGGCTATACCCGAAAACATATGGATTGCTTACGTACTCTGCAAAGGGATCAAGCCCAAATAAATAACTCTCACTAACCAAAATCATCAAATATTTCCACAATGCCAATATTAGCAACATATCTTAAAGACTTTTGGAGCGAGTCCTTTAGTTAAAGGTTCTACAATCATTACCTCCATATTGATATGCTCTATTTTCGTCTACCCTTCCTTGATTCTGTCTCTAACTATCAAATATTTGATGTCAATATGCTTTGACCCACCAGAACTTTTATTATTCTTTGAAAAGAACACTACTGCACTGTTATCACAGTAGATGGTGATCGGTCTTGAGATGGAATCAACAACTTTCATGCCAGAGATGAAGTTTCTTAACCAAACAGCTTGGATTGTAACCCATAACATCCCACAAATTCAACTTGCATAGTAGAAGATGTCACTAGAGTCTGTTTAACACTTTTCCAACAGATAGCACCACTAGCTAACATGAAAATATAACTTGAGGTTGATTTCAAATCATCTTGACATCTAGCAAAATTAGAATTTGAGTAGCCTACCACCTCAAGATGATTTGAACACTGGAATGTAAGCATGTAACCTTCAGTTTTCTTCAAATATCCCATAACTTTCTTAGCTGCTTTCCAATGTTCTTGTCCTGGATTCGATTGAAATTTTTTTTTAGTTTGCCACTTGCTGCTAATATTCCTCCTTCCGTTTATCTTCCTTTTACATAAAGGGAACTTTTTCTTTATTTTTATCATGACATTAGGAGATTCTTGAGAAGAAAAAATAAAATATAAACAATATCTTAGATGACATATAATTGCCTCATCACTCATGAACTCCCACTTATCTCCACCCGCTTTTCCAAGTGAAAATTGCTGGCAAGAATTATTTAAGTTTCAAAGAAAATTTGAAAAGAACAACGAACTCACATCAATTGATTTATTGTTCGAATAAAACGATTTTTATGTAAACAAAACTGGGGTTTAATATATTTTGAATAGTTACCATTTAGGTTTTAAAATAAAGAAAATCTTTTTTGAAAGATTTTATCGTTTTTAAGAAGACTTCATATATATGTTACATATAGATATTTAATGGGCAAAGCCCTCTGTCCAAGTCCACGTGGGCCCTGGACATATAAGCCCCCCACCTATGGGGAGGCGCCAAATGACTTCCTGGACGTCAAGCAAAACTCATATTTAACATCTAAATATTGTTAGTTGTAGACATGGTTAATCCACCCTCATAATTTTAGCATGTGTCTAGAACATCTTTTCAGTACAATTTTTACCGTTGGCAGCAAAATATGGATTGTTGCCAGCTACTATTTTCTACCCACCCTCGTACGGGTGGGCCCCATTAGACCAAAAAATAGTCATATTCCCAATTATATAGCCTGTTTGGAAGTGATTTTTTCAAACAAAAAATTGATTTTTTGACCGTTATTTCACTATTTCAGCCTTCATATTTTACTTTTTCTCTCACAAGTTGACGCCGGGCTTTGTCTCATGAAACAACCTTAAGTTACTGCTAGCAAGCAAAATGTCCACAACATACAAGATAAAAAAATAAAATTTATCCCATTGATTTTGAGATAAATGCATTGATCAACTGTATTTTCGACAAAATCATGAGAAGTTACAACCTCATCAAACTTCAGATACCACTGTCAAGATGCTAGCTTGGGGCAATATAAGGATTTGTTTAATTTACATACCAAGTTTTCTTTTCCTTTCATAACAAAGCCTTTAAGTTGTTTCATGTAAATCATTCTAGAAAGATTTCCATTCAAAGATGCGGTCTTAACATCCATTTGATAAAGCTCCAAGTCATAGTGTGCCACAAGCACCATGATAATTCGAAAAGAATCTTTTTGCGAGATAGGTGAAAAGGTCTCAACATAATTAATGTGACGTCGGGGTAGGATATTGATTATCTTATTGGCTTGTTATAGAAGATGATTTCCAAGAAAGAAACGACAGAAAATGCCCAAAAAAAATAGAGAAAATACTCTGAATTCAACTCAATATTATTAATAATGCAGAATACTGAAAACTAACCCACAAGCCGAGCTTTGAAATCAACTCAATATTATTAATAATGTAGAATGACCAAAATTAACCCACAAGCCGGGTTAATTAGCTGCGAAATACGAAATTATGGGAAAATTACCAAAAAATGGAAAAATCTTGAAATTATACTAGAATAAAATATTAAGTAAAAGAAGTAGGTTGCCAAAAATTTGGCTCAATTCAAGTTTTCTAACTTATGGAAAAAGGAAAATGAAATATTACCATAAATAGCAAAAAATAACTTAAAATTGAATTTTGGAAGGGAAAACAACGAATTTTGGGCTTGAAATTGAGCCCACTGAGCATAGTTGGGTAGCCACGATGTGTGCGCTGAAGAGAGCTTTTCTGATTGGGGTCATAATAGCGATTTCAATAACCGTAGCTAAAGTTATGGCCAAATTACCAAAGACGCGTCAAATTCCCCCAATTAAGGAATAATTGCAATTCACTTTCCATCTTTGCGTCGATCCGCCATCTCATGGTATCTCAGCGCCATCATCGTGCTATCTGACAAACTCAGCATCACTTGACTCGGATCCTCCTGCATCAGTCGCCCCGGGTTGAAAAGAACTCGCCCTCGAGTTCACAGTAATTTCATCGAACTCCATAAAACAAGGACTTAGGTGTTTTACGTTGAAGACGTCAGAGGTCTTCAAATGACTTGAGAGGCGCAACCTGTAAGCATTATCATTGATCTTCTGCAGCACTTCACAAGGTCCAATCTTCCGCTCCTTTAGTTTATTGTATTCCCCAACTGGAAAACGATCACGAGTTAATACTGCCCAAACAAAATCACCAACATCAAACAACACCTGGCGTCGATGACTATCTGCCTGAACTTTGTACTTAGTATTACTATCCTGTATGGACAGCTTCACCTGCTCATGGATACCTCGAAGATGTTCAGCCATCTCATCAGCTTTATTATTGAAGCGACCCACACGTGGAATTGGAGCCAAATCAAGTACTCCGGATGGATTTCGACCAAAGACAATTTCAAAAGGACTCAATCCGGTGGTTCTATTCCTCAACCAATTATAAGCAAACTCTGCTTGAGGTAATGCCAAATCCCACTGCTTCAGTTTAGTCCCTACCAAGCTTCTCAAAAGATTTCCCAAACTCTGATTTACTACCTCATTCTGGCCATCTGTTTGGGGATGGTATGCACTGCTAAAATTCAACTTCGTCCTAAGTTTCCCCCACAAACTCCTCCAGAAATGACTCATAAACTTAGTATCATGATCAGAAGTAATTGACCGTGGGACACCATGTAAACGCACAATCTCTCTAAAATAAAGATGAGCAATCCGAGTAGCATCCATTGTCTTCCAGCAAGCTACAAAATGAGCCATCTTTGAAAATCTGTCAACAACAACAAAAATGGAATCCATCGCCCGCTGTGTACGAGGTAAGCCCAAGACAAAATCCATACTGACATCAAACCAAGGAACTTCAGGTACGGGTAATCGTGTGTACAATCCAGCATTAGTAAGAGCCCCTTTAGACCGTTGACATACATAACACCGCTCCACATAATGTGCCACATCACTGCTCAACTTGGGCCAGTAATAATCAGAAGAGACCAATGCCAATGTTTTGTCTCGCCCAAAATGTCCTTCGTTATGAAGTTCACTAATAATCTGCTGCCTTAGCGAACAATCTGGAATGCATAACCGCAATCCACGAAACAGGTAACCATTATGTAAAACAAAATTATGTCGATGATTATCAGTTACCTCCCGAATTATTTTCCCAAATGAGGGATCCGCAGCATACATATCAGGAAATGCCTCAAATACGACAATCTTGGTGCTCATGGTGGTGAGGAGTAATGTGCGACGACTCAATGCATCTGCTACTCGATTCAAACTCCCTGCTCGCTGCAACTCTTCAGCTTCCTTGGGACTGAGGCGATATGCTGGTCGGTTTGGCAGACTCGACCCCGGAATGAGGTCGATCTGATGTTGAATGTCCCTTATAGGTGGTAATCCTGAAGGAAGATCCTCTAGCATCAAGTCAGAAAACTCCATCAGTAGTTGCTGTACTTCTGCTGGAAATTCTGAATCCACACTCGCCGTACTATTTTCACTAGGCATTAAAGCATAAACTATTTTTTCACGCCCAACCTCAACCAAAAACCTGGACATAGAAAGTAGATTGGGGTTTTTAACTACCGGGGTAGGGATGTTTCCTTCCATGCGAGGCACCAAAACAATTCTCTTTCCTTTGATACTAAGAGAATAAGTATTCTTCCGCCCATCATGGATAACACTGCGATCATACTGCCAAGGTCGTCCCAACAAAACATGACAGGCGTCCATTGATACCACATCACACCAAGCATTATCAAAATATTTTTTTCCAATTGAGAAAGACACTAAGCATCGTTTTTCTACTGTTACCTCACTGCCTTTATTCAGCCAAGACAACTTGTATGGTTTGGGATGACGATCCATCTTCAGTTGTAGTTTCTCGATAGCCTCCTCAGACACTACATTCTCACAACTGCCACTATCAATTATCAGCTTACAGACTTTATCAGCAACTGTGCAGGTT